CCTTCACCCCCTGCTCCAACTCCCCCTACACCTGGGCCTCCCCTGTAGCCGCCCTCACCCCCGGCTCCAACTCCCTCAACTCCCCCCCAGCCATTCCTGTCCCCTGTCTCCTCTGCTGTTCCCATTCCTCTGGGGCCCCCTGAGCCCTGGCCCAAGATAGCATCACCCCCTGGCCCTGCCCTCCCAGGCCCCAGACCCCTGGGCCCTTGTCCATAAGCTGTGCTGTCCACAGCTCCTAGAGACCCTGGCCTCTTAGATGCCACCCCATCATCCCACACAGTGCCAGAGCCGGAAGCCCACTGGCTCTTGGAGCCAGCCCCAGCCTGAGTAGGTACCTCGGGGGATCTGGTGTTACCCCAGGGGCCAGCTCCAGCTGCGGAGGCCTGCGCACCAAGGAGCCTGGCCCCAGCCCCATCGCCCATTCCGCCCCCTGCCCTCAGAGCCCCAGGGCCACCTGAGCCTGGGCCCTGATTAGAAGCAGCCCCCTTGCCCTCAGACCCTGGGCCCACGGAACCTCCTACTCCTCTCTCACCCGCTGCCCAACCCTGGGAAGACAGGGAGGTGTTGGAGGCCTTTCCCCCAGCGACAGAGTCCCCCAGCCCTCGCCCACCTGCCCCCTGCACGAGACCCTCGCCGTTGGCTGCAGAACCCCCAGCCCCCAGGAGAAATTTTCTGCCACTGGACATTGCTGGTTCTTGGGTGTCCTCACCTCCCCATGGCTGTCCTGGATAGCCCTCTGACCCCCAGAAGCCACTGGCTCCACCATGGTCAGCACCGCCACCTCCCGGAGCGCCCCAGGACTCTGGGCCGGTGCCTGTCATGGAGCCAGAACCTTCTCCTCCAGTGGACCCCAGGGTGCCGGGCCCTCCTCCTCCAATGCCCTCTCCAGCTTGCCCCAGGCCAGCCCTGCCGCCCCACCCTGCTCCTGCTGCTCCTCTCCCTGTCTCTCTGCCCAGACCACCCCCTCCCTCCACCTCGTTCAGGCCATTGCCCTGAGAAGCCTCCATCCCCTCCTCTCCGGGCCAAGATCCTGCAGGACCAGACTGGGCGCCCTGCAGTGCCCTCTTTCCTGTGCCCCGGGGTCCCAGGTGAGCATCCCCGAGCTGTCCCTGGCTGAGCCCGTCCAGCTGACCCCCACGGTCTGCTCTGTGCCCCCCGCCTTCCTTGCTGCTGCCCCAGCCTCCAGCCTCCCAGGCCCCTGCTGGCCCCCAGTGTCCATTCCTGTCACCATCACTGCCACCGTCTTGCTGTCCTCTCTCTGCAACCCCCAGGCCTGATGCTGGGCCCCCTGCCCCCGCCTGTGGACCAGACCTCCCTGCAAGCCTGGCAGCCCCGCCCCCCTCTCTGAGGAGCTGATCTTTCCCGGGAGCAGGCACTCTGTCACTCACCCCTGCTAGAAAGCCCCCTGTCTCCTGCCCAGAGCCCCAGGCCGACTTAGCTGTCCCCTCATTGCCCACTAAGGAGGAGCCCTGCTGGCCAAGGCCACCTGTGTCTGAGCCGGCCATGGGGCCCTGCGCTCTGCCTTTCCCTGCCTGGGCACCGAGGCTCTCGGAGTCTGCGGCTTCCGCGGCGTGTGCGCCCGGCCTGGGCGGCTGCTGGTCAGTGTCAAGGCCTTTATCCTTCCCGGCTTCTGCGAGGTCAGTGCCACACGGAGGGACAAGGGGAAAGATGGAAACACCCGTGAAATCAGGCCAAAGCCCCCGCTGACTCTCACCGCGGCCCTCTGGGCAGGTCCGTGGGTCAATCCCGGCACTGCCTTGGCCAGTCCTGCAGCCACAGCCGTGCCAGCTCGAGGTGGCTCGTGGGGATTCTGACACATGAATGCCTAGGCTAAAGTCGTTTGCTTAGCAAACTGCCATGAGAGCTACGTGCTCTTTAAGGGACTTGCTTTGCCACCTGCCCTACATGTGACCGATTTATAGTCCCTTGGGATGTCCTTGAACCTACTCCCAGGCGTCATGAGGGTGCAACAGTCCATTCCCACTGGACCCAGGCCACTGGCCCAGGCCATCTCGGATCTGTGCCCCGGCCGGGCTGGGTGAAGATGCCACCTCGAAGCGCAGCCCTAAGAACCTTCCCTGTTCTCCCCCAGATAGGGAGAGCGGCTGCCTCGCCTTCCTCCCGCCCTGGGGGCTTGTCTTGGGGGGGGCGGGGAGGGGAGCCACTCACCTTCAACCACCAGCCTGGCGCTGGAGGCGTGGAGCCCGATGCCGAGGGAATAGAGGCCCCTGTCTGAGAGCCGAACCCCTCTCACCAGCAGCCGATGGGTCAGCCCGTCGGGCGACACAAACACCTCGTGTCTGTCACTGGGCCGCAGAGGCCGGTGCTGGAAGTGCCAGGTGATGTCCGGGCAGGGGCTGGAGAATGTGCACTCGAAGACTGCGTCTCCCTGCTCCTCAACGTGGACGTCGGTCAGTGGGACCACCACCCGCGGCGGGATGGCTGCCGGGAAGCAGGGGCAGGACCGTTAGCCTCCGGGTGTGACACAGCAGGACTTGGTGCAGGGGGGCGGGGCTCAGGCCGGCTCAGCCACAAACACCCTGCGACACCTCGGACCAGTCACTGCCTTAACCAGGCAGTTATAATCAGGCTGTGACGAGGAGGGCAATTTTGGTACACCCTGTGGGGCTCAGCCAATGAGGACCTGGGGGAGGGGCCTGCTAGGTTATAAACTGCTCCTTGAACTGCTGCTCAGATACCTGATCTTTGAGGACCGTTAATAAAGTCTGGCTTCCCCTGCACTTGCTGTGTCTGATTCCGGGTGGACAGGTGAGGCTCTCTCCCACAGGTGGGGGGTGGCTGTGGGGGAAGCCGACACCCAGTGCTCTGCTCTATCCCCGCCCCCTCTCCAAGGGAGGTGTGACTCATTCCCTTCCCAGGCCGACACGGGGAAATGAGGGGCGCATGTACAGCCCCGTGTTCAGATGCCCACATCCCATAGCCACGTGCCGGGATCCTATCCCCTGTGGGGCTCCTGACTCTGGCTAACGCTCACCCTGGGAGGCCACGGTGATGGCTCATGTACTTGGGTCCCTGCCACCTACTTGGGGACCTGGATTGAGTACCTGGCCCCTGGCTCCTGGGTTCAGCTTTGGCCCAGCTTTGTTCTTGTGGGCATTTGGGGAGTGAACCAGTGGGTGGAAGAGCTCCTCTCTCTCTCTCCTCTCTCTCTGTCTCCCCCTCCTCTCCTTTCTCTGCCTCTTAAATAAATGAAATGATAATTTTTTGGAAAGTAAAGTGACTTGCTGCAGCCTTGGCAGCTAAGGGATGGCTCAGCCAGGACTCACAACCAGGCCCCCCACCGCCCAATTCCAAGGCACAGGTTCCTCTGCCCTGCCCCCAGGTTTTCAGGTTTCTCCAAGCCCCGTCTGGGTGCCCCCGGCCTGTTCTGTTCCTGGTGGGGTTACCTGAAGCTTCCTCCCCAGGGGCATCGGCGTGGTGTGGACCCAGGCACTGCTGGGTGTGGCACAGAGTTGGATGGGGAGGGGGCTCAGGAGGCAGGGAAGGAAGAGGCCTGTACCAGGGTGGGGGTCTCGCTAGGGGCAGCACAAGATGAGAAGGTACACCGGAAGTCATGAGCTGCAGGCTCTGGGTGAGTATGCACCTGCTCTCAACTGACCAGTGGCTGCAGAAGGCCCGCAGGTGGGGGCGTGGCCTGTGGGGAGGCTGCACTGAGAACACAACGACCTTGGGCCATCCTCTCCCTAGCTGTCCTCGCAATGGCGACCACGTCCCACTCGCCCCCAGCCCCCTGCCCCGACGCCTCCTGCCTCCTGGACTTTGCCAGGAGGAGGACCCCACTCCCAGCTCCTCGCCCACTCACCGCTGGCCTGCAGCTCTGTGGAGAAGACCACGGCGTCCTCCACCCGGACCTGGTAGATGCCGGCGTCCTCGGGCCGCAGGTCCTGGATCTGGAAGTGGTAACGCCTCCCCAGCCGCCGCAGACAGTGCCTGGTCTGGTTGTCGAAGCCGTATGGCACCATCTCGCCATCCTGAGGCCGGGAGAGGAGGAGGGGGCAGCTTGGGACACCATGCGTTCCCAGAGCCTCCTGCCCCAGCTGCACTGTGGCTAGCCCCAGCGGTTCTCGCCCACTGCCCAGGCAGCAGACACAGTGCTGCAAACCCTTATGTGGACAGGGGTCTGGGAGGAGCCGGGCCTGGTGTGCGTGGGAGCAGTGATTGTGAGGTGGGTGGGAACTGGCTGGGAACAGCGGGCACTTGTGTGAAAATCTGCAGGTGTTCTGCAGACACCAGAGCCAGCTGGGGGAAGAGGCACTGCCCCAGCAAGGGTGGCAGGGGCGGCAGGGGCCGGGACCAGTGGCCCAGGGCCGCAGCTTGTTCAATTCACCAAGGGGAGATTTCCAGGGACACTGTGAGATCTCCCTAAGGCTCTGCAGAACCCAGCAATCCTTACACACACACACTTCAATCAAACCCTAGAAAGACTTGCAACTTGCTATACAGTAACCAGGGCCGACACCTAGCAGGTGCCCACCGGGTGCCAGGCTGTTTTAGGGGCTTGGGACACATCCGCGTATACAGCAGATGAGGATTCCCGCCCTCGATGGAGGAGACAGAACATTCATGAACATCACAAGTAAAGTGATTTATGTTAGAAAGACAGAGCTGGGGTGGTGGGGGAGAGGGGCCGGGAGAGAGGATCCCACACAGGCTGGGTCTGCGGGGACGGGATTCCCTACATGGCTGCCCGAGCACACCGGGCAGGGGACGGAGCAGTGACGCGCCAGGCTGTGGATGTGGTTGTCTGAGACGCGGGTTCAAATTGAATTCCCGTCAGGAGCTATCGAGATGTGGGCCCAGGTGGGCCTCTAAGAGGGGATTAGGGCTCTGCCCCAAGCATGGGTCAGTCCGCCCTTGTGATGCGTGGATTCACAGCCAAGGGGTTACCCCAAGAGTGGGGCTGCTATGAAAGCCAGTTTGCCCAGGTCTCTCGCCCGCACCCTGTCCCCGGCCTGGTGCCCCGTTTGGACTTCGCCAGGAGGAGGGCCACACCAGCATGGGTCCTCAACCTTGGGCCCGCACATGAGCCAAGATGGGCCTTTCTTGTTTATAACTCGCCCTGTCCGTGGGCGGTTTCCTGGCAACAGAGTGGATGGAGACGTGAGGGGCAGAGGAACAGGGCTCAGGGGGGACGGGCGGCTGCCCCTGTGCACTCAGCGTCGCAGCACCCACAGTGAGACGGGTCTGCCTTCGTCCCCATTTCACAAGGGAGAAGACTGAGGCACAGGGTCTTGTCTGGGCTCACTCAGCTCGTTGTAAGTGAGGAAGCCGGGTCGAGCCGGGCCTCCCACCACACCCTGCCTGTTGACAGTCAATTTCCCCTTGGAGTCCAGGTGGCACAGGTGCACAGCCTCAGGACTGCCCTGACATTGGCCACCATTTCGGAGTCCCAGGCCCAGCGGGAGAGCCAGTTACTCAATGAGAAGAGCGAGGTCCCGGTGGACGCTCAATGCCAGAGTCGGACGCAGTCAAGCAGGGAGCTCCATGGGATGAGGGGCTCACTGGTTGTTTCCACAGAGGGATTTACAAGACCCAGGTCCTCCCAGGACCCGCAGCCTCCAGCCACGCCCCCTCCCCAGAACCTACACCTCACCTTATACAGGTAAATCTTGCTCTCAATATCCTTGAGCTCCATCTCCAGATCAAAGGTGGCGACCCCATCCTTGGTGACTCTGATGTGTCTCAGGTTGGAGATGACGTTGACGTACTAAGAGGCAGACAGGAGCAGGGTTTAGCCTGGTGATTAAGATGCCAGTGCCCCGTGTTGGAGAGCCTGCACCCCGCTCCTGGCTCCAGCATCCTGCTAATGCAGCAGACTCTGGGAGGTAGCAGGTGCTGGCTCAAGTCGTTAGGTCCCTGCCACCCACATGGGAGACCCTGGATTGAGTCCCTGGTGCCTAACTTTGGCCTGGCCTGGCCCCAGCCATTATGGGTGTTTGAGGAATGAAACAGTGGATGGAGTCTCTCTGCTGCAATTCAAATTTAAAAAAAAAAAAAAAAAAAAAAGCGGAGCGGCGCTCTCTCTGCAGAGGCCTGGCCTGCAGCCTCCCTCATCCCTGTGCAGCAAGGGTTTGCCCTTTGCACAGGGGAGACTGAGGCCCCGAGGGAAGGAAATGCGCCAGGCTGAGTCGTCAGCTCTGGAAGGCACCCACGAAGGGGGCCGGGCGCCCTGAGAACACAGACAGCTCCCTTCTAGTAAACATCAGCTGAGCACCTCCTGGTCTCGGTGGGAGGTTGGAGGAACCACCCAGGTCACCCAACATGACTTTCAGCACAGTGAAAACTGCATGCCATTTCCAGAAGGAAACCTGACTCGTCCTCTAGTTGAGTTAGATGCAGGAAGGAACCTCCTAGAAGGAAGCACGGGTATCAGAGTGCTAAGGCGGCCGTGGAATGCCCTCCCCCGGACGCCTTGGCAGGGACAGGTGCTCCCTGTCTCGCCTCGGCGCTGGTCAGCCAGGCACTAGACCAAGCACATCAAGTGCATGCTCTCACTCGTCTTCTGCATGGCCCCACCGGGTGGGTACGTCTACAGTCCCCATTGGATGGCAGAGGGAAACCAAGGCACAGAGGCCCTGACTTCTCCAAAGCCCAGGGTTTAGCAAGCAGCAGAACCAAGTTGCAAAGCCAGGAGGCAGCTTGGCAGCCTGAGTCCTTAGCCCCACGTGGGGGCGGGCCAGTGCCTGGTCCGTGCGGAGGCCTGCCTGCAAGCCTAACCCCACGTCCGAGGCCCGGCTCCAGGGTGCGGGGCGGGCGGGCGGGCTACCTGCGCCATCTTGTCTTCCTGCTCCTTCTTCATCACCTGCAGCTTGCGCAACATGCCGCGGAAGTCGACAATGCCGTACCGCACGCAGATCTGCTCATAGTCCTTCCTGTCTGCCGTCATCAGCAGCTGCCACACCTGCTCCAGGTCGACCTTCTTCTTGGGGGCTGGAGTCGGGGTCCTGGGGAGCAGAGGATCCCCAGGGCTTTGGTCACTGAGCGGTTCTGGGAAGCTGCCGGGAGAAACTGCTCCGAGTACCTTGGACTTGGGATTTCTGGCCGGATGTCTCGGCGCTCCCAGGGGGCAGAGCGGGATCCACAGCTCCCAGCCCAGGCCTCCCACCCTCCCCTCTGCTGCCCACAGCCTTGCTCCCTGCCTGTGCCAGGGAAGTGGCCAGGGGCCGGTGCCAGGGGAGCGCCCCCCGTAACCTCCCGACGACAGGGCCACACCCACCTCTTCAACATCTTCCGGAAGTCCATCAGTTCCTTCTTGAGATCTAGAAAAGGAGCAGGAATGAGGCGCCCACCCTGGGTGGGATGCCTACGGCTGACCCAGGGCTTCCTGCTGGGCCCAGGACTGGCGACCGAGCTTCTGAAAGGGGCTCTCCCGCGGGCTGGCGATGACCCACCAGGTGAGCGAGGGGAAGGTCAGACGAGGAGCAGCCCAGCCCCCCAAGGCCCCAGGAGGTCTCAGACAAATTCACCTACCCTCCTGGGGTTCCGTCTGCCTCTTCCGGTTCTTCCGAAAGCCAACTGGACCATCCAGGGAGGAGGGGAAAAAGCCGACATGGACAGGCAAGGAGAGAGCAGACACATTGATGGTCTTCTTGAGAAACCCACTGGGTCCCCGAGCACCCACCGCCCCACTGTCCTCTAAGGCAACAGGGATGGGGGTGGGGGTCTGGCCATCAGAGGCTTTGATACCCCAGGGCCCTAGCACGACCTTGGGAGCCAAGCTGAGTCTCATGTCCTGCAGGAAGGCCTCTCGCTTGTGCACATGTCCGCAGGGACTGAAGTGGCTCTGGCGGCCACAACAAACGGGGCCTCGTCTAGAGGGACAGCTGCCCACTCCCGCTGTGGGCCTCTGTTTCAGCACAGGGGCCCAGCATTGCCGAATCTGTTGGCCACTGCTGCTTGGCTGATCCTGCGCCATTCAGAGCCTTCTCATCACCTGCTTCTACTGGAGAGGATGGAAAAGCTAACGGCTTGCCTTCCCAGCTTCCCTTGCAACTAGCAGTGACCACGCGACACCACCTTGCCCCGTGAGACAGCAACAAAAACCCCAAGGAGTTTCTGAGGAAGAGGGGCAGACAGACCCGGGGCCACTCTTTCCCCTTCTTCCTGCTTTGAGGTTGGGGTCTGCAGCCGCCATCCTGTGCCCAAGAGGTAATAAAGCAATGGCTAACGATGGCAGAGCAGAGAGACGAAAAGCCTCCCCTCTCTGATGAGAGCCTGGCCGAGCGTGGGCCCCAGATTCCAGCCTGAGACCTCTCGTGGTATGACGTCATTAAAGAGCTTCACTTCTGAGGACGCTCTTGTAGGGTTTGTGCTACTTATAGGCAAACCGAGTGCAAGTACTGCAATGGAGAGACTGCAAATGCTTCCTCGCAAGCTGCCCACTACAGGCTGTGGGTGAATTTGCAACTTCCAAACACCATGCAAACCCGGCAGAACGTGTCTGCAGGGGCACTCGGCCTTGGTGTTACCTGTTGGCCCCTCCCACACAGGCCTGCACTGACATCCTTTGTACACCGAGGCCCAGAGAGGAAACTGAAGCCCCTTGCACGAGTCAGCCGCAGACCCTGGACTAGAAACCAGTGTGCAGATCCCGGAGAGAGAGGAAGCCTCATTCAGAGTCTCCACCCTGGGGAGGCTGCCCAGGTGGGTCTTTGGAGGGGAGCCCAGCCTCTGTGGTCCAGGCTCCCCGGCCCCCCCAGCCCCAGAGCTCTCTGGAGAAAGCCGAGGCAGGTGCCCTGAGGAGGCCGGCTCAGGGGACAGGCCCACCTTCAATAACGGTAAGTCTGGCTGAGCACGTGGCCTCTCCGTACACGTTCACCGCGATGCAGCGGTACAGGTCCGTGTCCTCGCCCGTCAGCTTGTTGATCTGCAGAGAAGCCAAGGGCAGGGGTCAGGGCCAGCAGCACCCCCCTGCCCTCCTTTTGCCAGCCAAGGCTTTATGTTGGTCTAAACATGAATCAGAGCCGGTCTTAATCCTCGGAGAGCTCACGAGCCCCCAACACACACGGGCTCAGGGCTGAGAGTGATGGACCAGCTCCTTGCCCGCAGAGGCAAAGCGGGGTGTCAGAGTTCGCTTTGTGGGGTCAGATGCATTGGAGCCTACAAACTGTCTCTGTCCTGAGAAAGCAGCCACGAGGCCCTGGGCACGTTACCCAAGCTCTCTGAACTTGTGTTTCCTCCCTTGTAAGATGGGATTCATCACGCCTCAAAAAGGCACGGGTGATCAGGGTGAAATCTATGATGGCCGTAGAGGGTTAGCCCAGGACCCAGCACACAGCAGGTGCTCCCTGACTGGCATCTGTAACATTACCAAGATCAACCAAGACTAGACACGCCCCGTAACTCTAGGATCCTCCCAGCAGTGACTCCAAGTAGGGGCTGCCCATCGCCCCACCTTACAGACAGGGAGACCGAGGTGAGGGGCTTTCCAAAGCCACGAGGGGGCGTGATATCGTACCGCAGATGTCTGGCTTGGAAGCTAAAGCTTTTTGGGCCCAAGGCTGAGCTGCTCCCCCCACCACACACACACACTCCGGGAACCCACAGGGAGGTGTCCCTGAGAGCCCAGGGACACCCGAGTGGGTTTGCTGTCCACCTGCTACGTTTCTTCCTCCTCTGGGGGCTCCCTACCTGTAGCACGTGCTCCCTGCTGCCGGCGCCCAAGATCTGGTACTTGCTGGAGCTGCTGAGGTCTCCTCTGGAGCTCTGCCAGCGCACCCTGGGTCTGGGCTCCCCGCAGACCACCGCCCGGAAGACGGCATTTTTCCCTGCAGCAGGAAGAGGCGGGCAGGGAACCGGAAATTGGCAGAGTGCTGAGGCTGTGTTCTGCTGAGATGTGCATCTGATGCGTGTCACCCTCCGGGAAGGGTGCTGGCCACAGGGCGGGCCTCCTCAGGTGGGAAGCGGCAGTTTCTGGGGCACACAGAAGACAGCCGCAGAGGCCCGGGCTCCCCGCGTGACAGCCGCAGGGCCTGGAGGACGGGGCGAGAGTTTGTGGGTTCTGCTTCTACTCTCTAGACAGGCAAGGAATGGCAGCCTTGGAGAGGAATGACCGCTTGGTGCCCGAAGGGCTGGTCCTGACTCACAGGGCGCCTACGCCAGGAAAGACCCCAAGTCCCATGCTCACTCTCAGGGAGCCCCTCCACCTCCCTACAGGAACAGGACAGCAGAGGGCAACAGAAGGTTCGAGAAGGCCACAAGCCCTCCCGAGCTAATGATGTTGTTTCAGATTTAGACACATGGAGCGCAGTAGTCCCCCCCCCCCAGGATGTGTTTCCAGACCCCTGTGGACACCTGCCTAGTACCAAGCCCTGTACCACATTTCCTGTTTATAAGTTGAATTTATAAAAGAGGCACAAGGACCGCGCCTGGAACAGAACAGTTGAAAAATACGCAGCTCAGAGCGACCTGAAGGTGTTCTCGGAATTTCTCCAGCGCCTCCGCCTCTCCACTCGCAGGAGCACTGGCCGTGGGGGTTGCCAGCACCCCTGCTCTCCGCCACTTGATCACAAACCAGAGTTGGGTCTCATGGCCAGAAAGGCTCATGAGTGACTAATGGGAGGGCAGCACGTACAGTGGGGATACCCAGAACCAGGGCTGCCCTGTGTCCGGAGTGAGATGCAGCCAGACAGCACGGGAGGGCATCAGGCTACTCGGAACAGCACCAAAACACCTGAAACGTGGGCATTGCCTATCTCTGGGATTCCCCATGGGACATGCTTGGCCATGGGTAACTGGAATGGCAGGTGAGGGGTGACTGCTCTCATACCAGAGGTGGGGAACTAATATTTATGGCCGGGGCCTGTGCTGGGGAAAGAACACCAACTCCTCTCCCCCTCCAACAGCCTTTGTTCTCTCTGCTTTTAGGACACATTCTCCTGGGCCCAGCCGTGAGTGCCTGGGGCTTGGCTGCCCAGGCCGGGGTTGGGAGGCGGTGCTAACAGGTAGCTCAGAGGCAGGGAGGGGAAGAAGGGAGTAGGCAGTACCCCAACCTCTCCCTGCTTCCCAATTTAGCACCTCCCCCTTTGTGGCCCCCAGGCATCCCTCACATCGGCACAGCAAGGGTCTCTTCATGCCTTCCCCAGTCCTCTCCCAGGCACCCTCAAGGAGAGGGAGGAGACAGGACTTTGACCTCCATGCACACACGGAGTCTCATGGAAAATGCATATTACGAGAACATTATGCCAGGATCCCAGTTTTGGGGCAACCAAAAGAGACTTATCTTTTATATCCATATTTATACAAACTTTTTGCAGTCCCTCTTGTCCAGTGTGGTAATGGACTTAGAGACTCAGTGCCCAGGAAGGTGGGTGCTGGAGCCCTGCCCCAGTGCATGCTGGGACTCTTGCCTCCCCTGCCCCGGGGCAGCTATCCTGGGGGTCTCACCCTCTTGCAGAGCCAAGGTCACAGGCTTCTGCTCGAAATCAGGCACGCTGCCGCCTTTGGGGATCTCGTCCACCAACTGCCGGATGCTCACTCCAGGCCTGGAGAACTTCGGGGGCTTCCCTGCAGGAGGCAGAGAGAGGAAGATGGGCCTCCCCTTTCCCCCAAGGGCAGCCTTTGGCAGAATGGCGCATCCACCCACGGCCCCAGGAACAAGAGGCCTCCACTCTCCCACTTTCTGAGTTGTCACTCTGACCTCCCACCTCTGAGGGGGCTTCCCAGGGCCCTAGTGGGAGTTGGGTGGTGGCCCTACAGTGCTGTGACTGGAGCCCGGGGGAGTGGGCAGGGGTGACCTTGAGCCTGTCCCTGGGAAAGAGCTGGGGAAGGGTGAGCTGTAAGGGCTCCTCCCCAGGAAGCAGGGGCCTGCATGGGCACTGTGCACCTGCTGCTCAGGGAAACAAATCAAAGCCCAGAGCCCGAATTAAAAAGAGCAAGGGGAGGGTGAGTTCCCAAAGACCCCGGACCTCTACTCCGCCCTGCTCACCGCTCCGGGGAGGAGCCGCAGCGAGGGCCGGGGCTGGGCTGGCGTGGGGCGCTCAGTCCTCGTACCTGCCATGATTCTGGCTCCTCTTGGGCTCTTCTACTGGTGGACGCTGGAAACTGACCTCCTGGGGATGGAAGGCAGGTTGCTTCTGAGAGGTGTGCACTCATGCATGTGTACGCCCAGGCACACGCACGCACACACACACACACATCAGCCGACGTCTGGGGTGGGAACTAGGAAAGGCCGCTGTCCCCAAGACCTTGTCCAACCCTGGCTTACAGCACTGAGTGGCTTCCTGAACTCCTTGGCCCCAGTAAAACCAGTTTGGCAGTGACCAGGGAGGGGGCAGGATGCTACCCAGCCGGTACCTTTCTTGGTGGGACCCCAGGCCTGACGCCCACGTGGCCTTCCCAAACACATTCCTGGTCTTCCAGCTGTTGGACAGCCTGCCCCTTGGACTCTGGAATGTGAGTTCTCTGGGTCTCCTGGCTCCTCCTGTCACTGAGGTTTTCCCACGGGGCCCAGCATCCCTCTCCCACCCTCGGCCAATCTGGAATCTTTCAGATCTCAAGGTCTGCAGGGGACCGTCCCCGACTTGGCAGCCCTGAAGCTCCTCTTGGCCCAGGCCTATGGGTTCCCCATAAATCCATCTACTCCTCTCTGAAGCCAGTGAGTGATGTGTCAGGTGAACAGGAGTCGCCAGCCTCTCCCAGCATGCACCTGCTCTGGCCGGTGGGGAGCCACACAGGGGAGGGAGGGGTTGGCTCTGGGATGGATGAGAGCCATGAATGGGAAGGGGTCTTGAAAGAATTCTCCCACAACCCCCCTCCCCTGCGGTTGGCCCGCGGCCAGGCGGCTCCATTTTGTGGACTCTATTTCCTGCGGACAGATCCGATTCCTCCTTGAGACTGGCACTTCCATTTCACAGCTGCCCACCCACTGGCACTTCTGGCCCCGGGGTGTCCCCACCGCAGCCCAGCCGCTGCCCCCCGGTGCGCTGGAATGCCACGATGCGCCAACCGCGTGCTGGAGCGGTCACAGGCACCGCAGCCGCTGCGCCGAAGGGTCACGAGGGAGGGGGTGGCAGGGCAGCCACCAATGGGGGCGGGCTGCGCTGGCCGTGGCGGGGGGGTGCGCGGAGGCCCGTCATGCGGTAGACATAGGCGCACTGGCACCCGTCCGCGCCCCCCTGGCTGGAGTGGTGTGACTTCAGCAGAGCTGTCTTAGTCATCGTCCTCGTCGCCTTCCCCGCCATCACTCGCCCCAGCTGTCAGCCAATTACCCGCTCCAGATCACAGTCCCCTTCTCCCCACGGCCCCGGACCACAGATCCCCGCAGAGCGGGTAGAGGGAAGCAGAACCCTGGGTGGAGGGAGACTCTTAGGGGCTGACGTGAAGCCAGCTCACCCCCCAAACCCCGGTGCTGTCCGTGAACGAGCCAGATGTGGGACAAGGTCAATGACCAGTTTCTAAGACGTGTGTTCGGCTGGAAGCAAGAGGGCCGTGGTCTCCGTGGGAGGGCCTGGGGAAGGAAGGTGCTGCTTCCCCCATGCCTCTTTCCCACACTAGAGAAGAACCCTAATTGTCCAGCACCACACAGTAGCTCCCCTCAGCCTATCCCAACCAGACTTTGAGCCCAGGGCCCCCAGCCGTGCCCCCTGGCCTCCCTCCAGCACACTCGGCTCCCCCACCCTGTCCGCTTCCCCACTGCCCCGTCCTGCGGATCCAGGCCCCTGCTAACCCCAACTTCAACTGGGAGGGAGTGAGCAGAAAAAGTCAACTGCCCTGGCCGTGTTACCGCGCAGGCCAGCCCCGAGGGCTCTGTTCTGTTGACTGCTAGTGAGATTTTTCATCTGATCGTCATCTCACACTGTAAGCCAAGCAGTGCCCGGCGAATCGGAGTGAGGCCAGAACCGCCCACGCGAGACTCGCCGAGACTCTCTGCGTGAACTGCAGTTGTCTAGAGGGGACCTGCACGCACCCCAGCATCGACCAGCCAGCTGGGGACGGTCCTGGGGGTTAATCTCACACCCGCCGCCTGCCCCTGCCTGAGCAGGAACGTCACAGAGCCGGCCAGTGTCCCCGTCGCGGCCCTCCCTGGCCCAGGGGGTTGGGGGTTGGCCAGGTGCGCAGTGCCCCCTTACCTGGGTGTGCAACCGGCCTCCTGCCTCCTGTCCTCTCCCTCCTGTCCGTTTCCAGCTGCTGCTCACTGCCAGAGACTCTGCATCAACTGGTGGTGGCCAGGCAGGCTGCAGCAGATGTAGGTCACCGCAGCCTCCCCTGGCTCCGCCCCTCCCACTCGCCCCGCCTCCCTCCTGCTCCAGCCCAGGCTTGGCAGGGCAGGGCCCCCCAGGGCTAACGCCCCAGCCTCAGAGGAGGTCCCAGGGGCAAGGGTCCCGAGACCCCTCGTTCAGCAGAGCTTTAAGCTCCCGACATATTGGTTCCGTGGCAGTCTGTTTTTCATCACCCAGAGCTTTCTGTTTCAACAAAACTGGTCTCTGGGGCCCCTTGGCCCTGTAAGTCACATGGGTACGCGAAGCCGGGTTCCTTTGGAGAATCCCACCCCAAAGGCCACAGACCGGCAGGAGGGCATTATCCCCAGGGCTCTGCTTTGGGGCTGCTCTCCCCCTGAGAGTGGCAGGGAAGGGGACACCCCGGGACTGGTGCAGCCAGGAGGCTCCCAGACAGCGTGAGCTTGCCTGGGACAGAGGGGTGACCCAGCCCTGTAGGCTGATGGCTGGGGTTTGAGGGGTGTGGACAGAAGGTGGAAACTGGAGACAGGGTGGCAGGGGACAGACCTTCGCAGGGCGGGGAGGACAGTCGAGGCACCGAAGATGAGGCCACCTGGGCTCCTTGGGAAGTGCCACTCTCTGTCTTCCAGGTTGGTGACCACCGACGAGCAAGGTTGGGGCCCGAGTGTTTGCCTGGGTCGTCGGCGCCTTGCTGGTCCCGCAGCAGCTGCTTCTGTGTGTGCTGAGAGAGGAGGTGCTGGACCTCTTATGCCCGGGTGTGTGCACGTGTGTGTGCACGTGAGTGTGTGGCTGTTGTGCAAGCACGCACATGCGCTTCTGTGTCTTCCCTGTGTGTTTCTCGGTGTCAGAGGCTGGTCTGTCATTTATTCGACAAACATGAGGTCTGTGCAAAAACGGAATGAAAAGACAGGCTTATTTGGTGCAAAAAGTTTTGAAATGCATGCGTAGTCTTTTTCATCATACGCATTTTGCATAATTTTTGGCAAAATTGTGTATGCAAGGATTTCTATTTTTTTTCTTAAATCCAGATAAACTTACCTTTTCATTCCATTTTCCACGAATCCCTCATACAGGCTGAGACCCTACCTTGTGTTGGGCTCTTGGGATACAACGGCAAGCAAGTGACAGGACCCTCCCCTCACGCAGTGTCCAGCCTAACGGGACAGAGAGATGTCAGCCTTCCGGTTACAAACGGCCGCGCAGGTTCTGAAGGAAGTGACACAGAGCGGGGGAGAGTGGCGGCAGGTGAGGTGGGGCAGGTGGCTGTGGGCGGCCCTGGAGAGGTTTGGTCTCCATCACCAGGGCTGCTGCTCCCGAGTTTGTGTAAGCTGGAGGGGCAACAGGGTCCGGCTGGCATTTTGCAAAAGCTCATTCTGGCTACAGGAGGAGGCAGGGTAGGAGGAAGGCGGACGTGAGGGGCAGGAGGCTCGCTCCCAGGAGGGAGGCTAACACACCCAGCGCTTTTTCTTAAGGTGGGGCCCCGGCTCCAGGAGGCCTTCTGAGCCACACTGGGGTGGGGGGTGGGAGGGCTACGGCCATGGCTCAGTACAGAGCCCTACGGCATTCTGGGTGCCTCCACTGGCCATCACGTAGAGGCCCGCAGAGCCACAGGTGCGGCCTTCATGCAGTAACATCAGCTCCCACCAGGGGCGCCTCTGCTGTCGCCCCCGAATCGTACTTGGATCCCTGTCCCTGCGAGGAGACGGACATTTCATGCCTCCCAGAAACTGAGATGGGTCAAATGTTTTTCAGCCACACTTTATCCTCGATCAAATGTCACGCCCAGTAATATTTAGCCATTCCCGGCTGCCCAGCCATGAGCAGGAAGGTGAGAGTCTACAGCCGCGTGGAGGGCCTGTCCCACACACGGGTGGTGTTTCCCGGGACTGGCAGTTGGTAGGAAAGGGGGCGACAGCCCGGGCCCAGTCCCTTCTGGGACTTTCCCGGTTACCCTCAGGCCATGGAGCGTTCCGACTCTTCCCCACTGATCCGTCCCAGTGCACAGGTTTCAGCCAGCGGTGAAACGTCTCACTTCTCCCCACGGGAGAGCCTCTGTGTCGCGTCTCCCGATAGCAAGTCCCTGCTGTCACGGCTCAGGGAAACATTCAACTCACAAGGGCTCCGGGCAGGGGATTCGTGTCTATCATTCAGCCTCCCCATGCCCTGCAGAGAGAGCTCAGGGACTTTGGGTAGGGAAATGGCCACACTGCATTAACAGCTTCCTGTCCCCGCAGAGGGGACTGTATGGAGTGGCAGGTGCCAAGAGGCCCGGGTCTCAGAAGGGCCTCCCTCCTAGGGGCTTCTTGCTCCCGGTGGTGTGAGTTGGAACAGACAATCTTTGAGATCCTGGCCAGCTGTAGCATCCTGCGGACCCTGTGGGCTTGACAAATAGGGCAATACCATGAGACTCATGGGAGAGTTTGAGTTCAGGCGTGGGCTACCGCTGCCCCCGTGCCTTGGGGTAGAGGCGGTTCTGCCTCAGCTGGACAAGCCTCTGAAGATGTTCTCCAGGGGCCAGTGTCCTCCGTCTCCCCACTGGGGCCCAGGCAGATGGGTGGGGACAGCACGGTTCTAAGCAGAGACCTGTAGACACACACACACACAAACACACACACACACACACACACAACACTGCCAGCAACAAAGCTGGACTAGATTCAATGGCAGAAGCCCCCCTGTGGAGATGGCTTCAGGGGTCGGGGCCCATTCTTGGGCCTGGGGCTAGGGCTACAGACTTTACCCAGGGTGCTGCAGCTGTGAGCGCTGGGGACAGAAAACACCCTCCCTAGGGTCTCCCCACCGAGGTCCTCCTGGGCCACCACCAGGGCCATGTTCCCCTGGGCCTGCTCTCTTGAGCCGTGCACCCAACCTGGCCTGTCACCTCCTGTCTCCAGTCCAGCGTGTGGTCGTGTCTTTCTCTCCTCGCCTGCAGTGTAATGAGCCCCTGTAGCCTGGTGGGCGTGAAGAGACTTGGGAGACCCCAAGAACAATGTCATGCTTGCAAAGCTGGCTTTCAGGAACAGAGGGACCAGAGTTGGGGGTCAGCCCCCCAGTTCAGCAGGGCCCAGTGCAGCAGGCACAGCTGGCCTGAGGGCCTGAAGGGGTCCACTGGACCCATGGGGAGGAGAGGCTGCCGAGGCGTCTCCGCTCGTTTCCAAGAGAGATTAGGCCACCACAGGTGTCAATTTGTTGGGACCGTATAGACCCTCCTGGAAAGATCCGAGCTGGACAGGATCTTTAAGGTCATCTAACAACAGCACCAATAAAATTAGAACCACATACTTGACCTTTAGAGAGCTCTTGCTATGTGCTAGCCACTCTTCAGAGTCTTTAGCTGTTTCAACTCATTGAATGCCTCCCAAGAAAACCTTAACGTAGCATCCATCGCTGACCCTGTCTTGCAGAAGGGAAAATGGATTCGCAGAGAGGATCCACCTTGCCCAAGGTCACACGGTGAGCAGGTGGCAGAGCCAGGATGGAGACCAAAACCGTCTTCCCGCCCAGCGTTCTCGGGGTCTCGCGCGCCTCCTTTCCCCAGCAGCCTGCAGAAAGCACACGGGGGAGAGATGCGTCTCCTGGGCTCACCCCCCTGGCAAAGGTGTGCACCAGATCCCACATCATTCCGGGAAGCTGCGCCCGTCTGCAGGAGTCTGTCGGCTGCTGAGGGGGTGAACTAGCCACTCCTGCGACCCAAGGCGCAAGCCCTCTGTGCTGGCGAGGGCTGGTGCCCCGAGGTTGATGTGCCAAGGAGCACGCTCGTCCCACTGAACACGTTCCAGGCCCCAGGCCACCGTGCCACCCTGGGCTGCTTCATTTCGCCCACACAACACGCTGGGGAGTAGAAATTCATTATCTTTCCCCGACAGAGAAGGAAGCGAGGCAGCCATCAGACAAGGTCCCCGCTGTCCCCAGCTGGTACAGGGGAGGGCGGGACAGCAACGGGCAGCCGGAGTCCCTGCACTGCTGCCTGCTGGTCCAGAGACTCCCGAGTTTTTCAGAGCAGGCAGAGCCCAACACCAGGAAGCCTTTGCGGCTGTCTTCCTTTGGCCATGAACGTGAACCTTACCCCCAGAAGGAGAGGGCCTGGCAGAGGTTAGGAGTGCAGTTTTTCAGACTCCTTTTTTTTTGTTTGTTTGTTTTAATGAAGAAGAGAGGAGACAGGGCTAAGAAGTAGGTGATGGGTTTTCACTGGGGTTTCAACCACGCGCACATTGAAACTTTGCAATGTCATCGTGCAGCCCGGGACTACTGCAGGACTGGCCGGCGAGCCTCTGGTGCCCGCCCAGGAGCGTGATACGGGGACGGGCACTCTTGGTGGCTCAGGGCGGGAGACGAGGCTCCTCAGCTTTCGTGTCCAACAGGGGTTTTGCTCTGTGCGTGTGGATCACTCATTTGGAGATGACGTTGAGGCCCCTCGGCTCCCTCCCCACTCCAGGAGCGTCCAGAGGAGTCCAGAGGGGGCTCTGCCTCACCCCTCGCCAGACCCCACAGTCTCAGCCCAGGCGTCCTAGCTCGCCTTGTCCTTGGAAGCCTGGCCAGTGACAGCGTGGAGGGCGGAGGGAGGAGGTGGCAAGTCGACTGGAAGGAAAGCGCTTCCTATACACCTCGCCCAAGAACGGTGATGGGGGTTGGCGTGGTCCCCCCCCCCAACCATCTGAAGTAGCCACACTGTGTGCCCTCAGCCACTGTGGCGCTGCCACTACCACTGGTGGCACGGGCCTCCCCACGTGCAGTCCTCACCCATCTGCAGCTCAGTCACCACCCTGATGACTCTGGGAACCCGAGGCTGACAGCTGTCTTCTCGGCCGGGCAAGCCGCAGTGAGGCAGTCTGGAGGCGCTGGGAGAACTTTAGGGGACCCTGAAGCAGCCTGGGGTGGGGGAGCCAGGAGCCCCGAGTCCTGGGACTGGGCCTGGAAGCGCCAGCAGGCCGCCTGACTCTGACTCTCGTATTGGAAACTGACACCACCAGGGCTGGGCTCGCTGTGGAATCAGCTTCTGCCCGTGCAAGGAGGCTGCTTGCA